TATTGTTACCTGAGGTGCTGTCATGAGGTTGTTGTGTAATGTGCAATGTAGTTGTTTTGTTTCTTGTTATTGTTACCTGAGGTGCTGTCATGAGGTTGTTGTGTTATGTGCAATGCAGTTGTTTTGTTTTGATGTTATTGTTACCTGAGGTGCTGTCATGAGGTTCATCTCAAGGAGTCTTGTTTGTAGTGCACCTTCACTTGGTCTGTTGTTCTTGAGAGCATCCAACAAGAAAGATGTACAGGGCTGGACTTGATTGGTTTCCATGAAAACATCGACAATCTGGTGGTAGAAAAAAAGTCAGAAACCTAACAGAATATGAATGATGTTGTCTTATTGAGAGTAACTCTACCTGGTTAAGATCAGCCAAAGGGTCACCTTCATCCTGTACCATCATGGTAGCAAATTGGCCACCAGTCTCTGGGTTTACTCTCATCAAATTTCTTAACAGGAAGATATAGTCGGGAGTGTAGTTGACTTTCTTAGCATACAGAATGATCTTCTGAAACTGGCCTGTCTCAGCAAAGCACTGGATTACCTGCACAATTTAAATGATACATCCATTGAACATGACATTGTTCATAGCAGTTTCATTGCATTCAGCCAACATTTACCCATTCTCAAATTGTTGCTGCATTAATCTGTATTGTACTGTAATCATACCTTGTTTGGTACATTGGCCCTCAAGTACACAGACAAAGCTAAGGTAGGGTCTAGTTGTTTTACAAGATCACCAAGCTCTTCACTGCACTCCAGCTAAAAACAAAAATACACTTTATTATCATAGATCAGTACACTTTACGGTACACCTACAATCTTGCACAATTTTGTTCTAAGATGTTCAGCTTTTACTCCAAAAAATACACTTTACATACCTTTTCTTCCTTGAGCCACTTTTCAAGCAGTTGTTTCTTGCCCTGTTGAAGCACTGGTTTACACAGCTCTAAAGACTCAAACTTGTTCAGTTTGCCTTGGTCAAGAAGTATACCAAAGTACTGAAGTAATGGTGAGGTTTGGCCAGGTTGAGCTGGTACTTGCTGGAATCTCTGAATAGTCTGTGGCGTTCTTAATACTCCCTAATTATTCAAGCAACATGAAGGACTCAATTGGATGTGCTACTACAGAATTATTATGAAAGTCTAAACTACTAACCTTGGGTGCATTGGCAGCAACTTTGGCTGCTTCCAAGTACTGCATGCTGTTGAACAGATTGTTGAATTTTCTTACAAACAGCTCCTCAGCTCCAGCTAGATTGTTTCTGACTGACAGTCTCAAAGCCAAGTCTGGGTTTTGAAGAACATTTGTGATGTATGGGATGATATTGTCTTCCTCTACACTTACAGACAGAACCTAACAACATTAAAGTACAATTATAATTACTATTACAGTACAGTGTCTGATAATGTTTTTGATTATAGTTTAAATTTAATTCAATTTTTTTCATCAAACATCTACCTGTCCCTTCCTGTTGACGCCAATGATTCCACCAGTGGTATCATGAGGAGCAGTTACAAAGATGGTGTCTCCACTGATTCGGTTCATGTAGATACATGTACAGCTCTCAATGTCATACAAATGAACATATCCATACTTGGTGATGAGAAAGATGATGCCATGCTTTTCACTCACCTAGAGATATAACAACATGAATGAATGAATGTTCACATTACTATTTCAATGCTAATATTTTTTATACTGCACTGACCAACATTTTGACAGCTTGTGAAAAGCTTCATATAAAAAGGTACATCAATCGTACATTGTACAAACCTGCATAGCTACTGGAAAATCATTCTGGGCTTCTGGAGGAAAGAATACTTCTACAGCCTTCTTAGGAAAGGCTTGGTTTCCTGCAGGTGGTGTACCAACCTCAATGACATGCAGCTAAAGATAGACAATACAACTTATAAACATAAACATGATATAATTTCCAATAAATTAATGGTAAAACTGACAGGTTAAGAAGTTGTTATAGTATCAATACTTCATTGTATTCTGTCTTACCTTGCCGCCTTGTGCTCCTCGAACAGCAAAACAGAACAGATTTGACTCATTAGGATTTCCCTCAGCTTTGAATGGACAGAAAGCTGCTGTGTGCCCTTCTATTGGTTGACTTACTTTCCTTTCAACAGAATACAACTGCATGGCACCAACCACACGGTTTTGCTGTGCTGAGATACCAATGAGAATCAACCATTGCTGATCCCTGTCAGTCCTGTAGTTAATGATTTGACAGCCTGCTAGACTCGAATGACGATCAAACATTTTCACTGGTTGGGAATCACCTATTTTATACAATAAAACAGGGAGTCAAATTATTATATAAAACATCTTTTCACATGTGGAAATTTGTCTTAAGGAACTCTTCTTATAGGCAGAGCTCTATTTGATTAAACAATGTTTAAATAGCATGTTACATTCATGACCAAATATGATCAGTTACTCATTTCAATGTACCTTCCATTCCCCAATGAAAGACAGCTGTATCAGTCACCAAGGCAACAGTGTTCACATTGATCCACTTCCAGAAAGTGACATCCTCCACCATGGTGTGCGCCTTCATCTTGCTCTTCATTTCAATGTTGAAAATCTGTAATGTTCGACCAGCTGAAAGAGACATTGGTGAATATTATTTGATATTACATTGGATCTCCACAGAGTTAAGCAAAGAATAAATAATATATAAGAAACAAACATCATTTATTACAATTTGATAATAAAAAAATCACATCCCAGGATATCCTGGCAATTAACAAACCTTTCAGAGCAATAACTTTTGATCTTGGGTTCATGATAGCAGAGTCGGCAGATATTGGTCGCCTTGTAGGATTGTTAGCATCAGCCATGTCAATAATGACAACTTGTGCAACATCTCCAACCTTTTCTCTTACACAGATGTACTTATCGGATTCCATTGTGAGTGTGGAAAACCCAATATTGGCAGCATTGATTCCAACATTTTGCAGCTAAAAGAAGAAGTGAGCAAAGCATACAGTTACAGTATAATACAAATAATATGTGTATCTGCCCTAGCTTGTAGCAAATCCAATATACTACCAGTGAATTTATTGCTAAGGAATAAAAAGCAAGAAATTTATTTCTTGGATTGAATTTGAACTTAAAATAATGTCTGCAAATTAGGAGAGGTTAAAACACAACACAGAGGCATCAAAAAAACAAATGGAGTAGTTTGACATTTGGGGATTTCACAAACTAATGTCTTAACTTTGATCATGTTCAGAAAATGCTTCCACTACGTCGAAAACATTTTGTATTAATATATCAAAACACACGAAAAAACAACAATAAATATTGTACTACTTTTCTTATTTTTAGAAAAGGTGTTAAAAAAATATGTATATTTTATTTGACTTAATCATAAAAATCCAATTGCTTTAGTTTCTATTGCATGGTAGCATATTTATTTTAGGAGTTGAAAAGTAGGTGGAAACAATTGAATAAGTTTAGTAATTGATTTTCTCTTTTCGTCTGTTGAGAGTTCATAAAATTTATTAAATATACCTAAATGAGCTAAGATCAAATGCGGTCACAGTAAAATAAACAAATCGAAATATGGATTTCGTTGTGAATTGTAGTAAGGGGAGTATGTTGAGTTTGCTATTGATATGTGTGCAAGCTGGAATAATCTGTGGTCTATGACATAGTTCGATGAAGCTTTGTTCAATCATATTAGAGGAACTCGATCAACGAAATGCAATCACATTTATATAAAGTATCAACAGTGTTTTTTACAAATGAAAACATTTAAAAAATATTGTTTGATTTTAATTTCTAATTCTAGAAGCCATGCGGCTTTCCAAAGTTGATTTTCGAAGCAAGCTTTGGCATCATTCAAGTTGTGTCTTCCGCTTTCCAAACAGTATATCTGATTACTACATTAGAAATGCTATGATTAGCTTTAAATCAAGCCAAAACAGTGTATTCAATGGTCTTATACTTGGACGAATGGTAAACGTGAACACTAAAGCGAAGCTATAACGGCTCCATGGATGATTAGACATAAGAAATAGCGCTTAAAACACTCCCCAACTCAACCAAAGTCACAGAAGCATGTGACAGAAGGTACAGGATAGAATATTACCTGAAGATGTTCTTGAAAGCGAATAGGTAATATCTGCGCCATTATGCTCAGGAGATGGCAAAAACCTTAGTCTTGTAGCTTATAAACTCAAAGTCTCCTTCAATCACCGAAAATTCGTAGGAATTTGAGTGATAGAGGAAGAGATACCTTCAGTGCTTGGCACAAAGATCATGGACGACGACTCAGTGACCGGCAACCACACCACAACGAGGCTAGTTGTGGGAGGTGCCACGTTAACAGGAGACTGGGGTCGAAGGAATGAAGAAGGAATGAAGATCACGCCAACTTTTTGTAACCGCACTGTTAAATTGATATGGTAAATTTCTTTGCAAAATATCATGAGCTAGAAGACATTTTTAGAAATGCGTTTTTTTCTAATTAATTTTATGATAGATTCAGGAGCCCATGGGCTCCTCGAGTAGATTCAAATTCAAAAGTTAATTCAATAACATGGGGTAGTCTTTACACAATACTTTCTTCAAAAAGAATACAATAATAAGACAATCTTAAGTAATTTTGCCGAGAAAAGAATATAAAGAGATTGAACCTTAAATTGGGCTTGCTATGCTAAGACATGTCCGCGCATTACTGGTACCTTAAGATTGCAATGGCTGCCGGGATAATATCAGCGTATGTGGCGCGTGTTGACGAGAACAAGGAGGAAAACAATGTCTGCGAGGTAGTGCTTACAAATTTCTACTTTTCAGACCATTGCATCTCAAAGGAGCATCAACTGAGAGCTCTGTGACTCATGTGATGTACGGCAATGTCCTATGAACCGCCTGGGTTCACTAAAAACTCTATCTACAGCCATGGAAAAGTCTACGAAAGTACGAGCAAAGTTGGGTCTACGTTCTCCAGCTTTGAGAAGCCAGGCATGTAGATATATTTACATAAAGTGTTTGGTTGCACCATATAACTTATCAGTGTCTCGTCGTTATTGTAATATCAGCATTATGAACTTTGGCATTTCTTTTTCAGTTGCAAATGGTGCTGCAAAGTACCTCAGTCGGAATGAAGGCGGAAGACACAAACGAAATTACAAACTCCTCATCGATCCTGCTTTGAAGAAAGGATCCGAAAAAATTTTTCGCTTTGATGGCGAATTTCCTGGGGTAGGTTTAATATTGGTGCTCAATGAGCATTCTTCATATCAAAGGTTATCTATTACTAGAAATAATATTGATCCAAACGACCTTATTCTAACGATGTACCGTGTTTCTCCTCTCAGCAACCACCAATTGTCCCAAAGGACCCACGCTCAAGAAGGACTCGAATTTGGACACTGAATAAAGCCGATCTACCTGTACCCAATTTCAAGGTTTGTATCCAAGCTGAACAAGGAAGTGGGTTTCTGTTTATACCGGCGAAATCAGTGGAATTACTTGATAATTAACTCAATACAATGGACGAATGAATGAATGTGTAATCATTTGACTTTGATTGGATTTAAATGTACAAAATAGGAACGATAAAGTGTTCTTTTCGTTCATAGTTCGACAAGTACTATGTTGGCACGCCACCGCAAAGAGAAGTTGTATTCACAGGACTTAATGATAATGTAGACAAAAAATTCCTGCAAGAAATGTGTCAAAAGTATGGCAAGGTTGAACATATCAAAATTTACTACGACCCTCTCACGAAGAAACACGCCGGAAAGGCTCGTGTGACCTTTGACTTAACAAAATCAGCCAAGTTGGCTTGTACTAAGCTGAATTCATTCTCAGTAATGGGAAATATTATTTCAACTCAGCTTGAACCAAATCTTAAAGGTTAGTACTATTAGATATTGATCTTGGCGTTGATTCGCTTGACAGGGGAATCGCCGGCATTAACCATTGTAAACAAAAACTTCATTTAAATTGGACACCACGGAAGTAACTAACTACTGCTATGTTTGGTTTATCAATTGATCTTGACAGCCATGCCGATTTAATGTTACAACATCTCGTTAATGCTCATTTTTATAGTAATCCAATAATCGTTTTATTCAAACAATGTTAAGTTATATATATCACCTTTTTATTAACATTTGTGTGTGAAATATCACAGTGACATAAGAGATGGTGAATCCTTGAATTAAATTGTCATTTTTAAATAGCTGCAAGAATTGATGTCTTGAGAGTTTGTTAAATATCATTACCCATATTTTCTCTTGTATTTATATATTTATTGGAAGGCAAATGCATTGAATGCATGATTTATGTATTTCAGTAAAATGGAGATTTTCAATGATATACAAAAGCATTTTCACTTTGCAGGCAACAAAGAACAAGCAATTATTTTATGTTTACATTAAGGACACTTTTCCCATTAAAATTTTGAGCTATTCTAACTTTTCAAACAACTTTTGGGAGCAAAGTGATTGGAATTATTTACTATTTTGATCAGTACTTTATTGAGAGTTAGTCCTTATAGTTCAGGGGCTCTAATAAAAGCAAAGTTCAGAAAATGTAAAAGATAAAAAATGGAAGGGGTCATGGCAGAACTGCCAATCCCCAAGACTTTTCAGATCTGGAGATTCACACTTAGCTAATGTAATTATTGACATAAATGGCGTCCTGTGGTGATACAGAGATAACAGCATAAAAACTATTGTATTCTTTAATCCAAATGAAATTAGCAGTATTTATCAACTTTGTCAGTTTATCTTGGAGTTTTGATTCTTTATCTGGGAGATCTGGTGATAAACCTAAACCTCGACAGGGATAGTTCGCAACTATGTCTTCAGTATACATAATTTATCTTTTCCAACAGAAATGTACGATTTCACTGCTCATTTAATATACACGTGTACTAAATGTAATCTAAAAGTCTACAGCTTTAATAATGTTTACATTTTTATGCATTATGAATAAGATTATTTATTTTGTCTTGTCAGGAATCAATTCAAGACATAAGTTACATAAAAGCATGGACAAACCAACCAGTAAAGAATCATTTTATCATCAACCAGCTAAACAGCCCATCCACTACCCAACTCCTCCACCATCTACAAACTGTCACTCCCCTTCTATTGATAGCAGCTTGTCAACTCCATGTACACCAAAAACAAACCGACCTGTTGATCCAAGGATTAGAAATACAACACCTGTCACTCCACCATTACCTGATCTGTCGTCGTCAACAAGCAATGTTCAGAAAAGTTTTGGTTCACAGTTATCAGGACATGGAATGTTTTCATCTTCCTTGTCATCTTCATCAAGTTCATTTGAGCCCATTTCTCCTCCACCTGCACCATCAAAAGATTTTGAAGATACTCCTGTAGATGGCGCACCACCGCTACCACCTCCCATTGATACAAGTGCTTCATTTTTACGCTATGAAGATATCTCACCTGAGCAACCTCCTACTCCTGATGCTGTGCAGAATACCAAGAGTTTTAATCTAGTCCCAACAAGAATTAGTGATGAATCTAAGATCTCTAGAATGATTGAAAGTGTCAGGAAAGATTCAAGTAGACACAGCCCTGGCAGGGATCCTAGTCGTTCACCAAAAAGTGACAAATATGATTCTAGAAGTCATGACTTGAAACACTATAGTGAACATGACAGAGATAAGTACAGGGATCGCTACTACAGCCGTGATTATAGAGATGAAAAGGATTATAGACGAGACACTAAAAGATCTGATAGATATTCTGAGCATAGATATAGTAGACATTATGATTCCTGGAAAGACTCTTCCTACAGTGAATATAAATCCAGGAAAAGTGAATACAGTCGAGGAAGCTACAGAGATGACTATGATAAAAGACATGGTGACAAATCAAAAGACAATTCAAAATATAAAAGAAGTGATCGATATTCAACAAGTCCTAGAAGACCTGAAGACAGAGACCGATATACCACAAGTCCTCATAGAAGTGATGACCGCAGGAAATCAGAAGACTTGTACAGTAAAGATGATTCTAAGTCAAGAGACCGGCATGGGGTAAGATCACCTGTTGATGGTGAAACGTATCCTTATACATCAAGTAGAGAAGATAAGCGAGGATCAAGAGGAACACGGAATCAGTCCCCTGCTAAATATGGAAAATCTCCTGTAACGTCTCACTCGAGAAAAGGACCAGTTAGTCCACCTGGTAGCCCAAATGAAGTTATTAGCTATCATGGTTCAAATAGACACTCTAAAGAACCAGCAATTGATGATCAGTTTGGTTCAGATAAGGAAAAAACCAAACAGTTGTTTGGTCTTGATGTTATACGAAAAAGAAAATTGTCCAATAGCACTGATGATAGTGAAGATTGTAACTTCAAGTCCAAAAAGTCACATTCCAAAAAACTTACTGAGTGTGAAAATGAGAGATATTCTCCTGAACTTTTTGATGAATCTAAGAACAAGAATGAAGAAACAGCATGTGAATCAGGACAGCATAAGACTGATGATTTGCCAGAGATTGAGGATATATCACCTTGCCCATCACCCCAAGGAACAGTAACTGTTAATGCCGAAGTAGTGAAGACATCAGAAGAGCACAGCAGTCTTTATTCAGACATTGAAACCAATGATGAATTAGCAACGACTGACAGCAAAACTGAGGACCAGGATGACGATGCCATGTCGCTCTCATCCATCAGCTCAAATGAAGACTTTGAACTTAATGAACCATCCAAAAAGATATCACCTCAACCAAAGACTGTCTCTGTTCCTCCACCAAACATGGTGTTCTCCTTGCCACCTCCCATGATTCCTCCTCCTTTGCTCTTTAACCCTCATGTACCTCCCCCTGGGATACCAATTCCTCCTCCTTATCTTCCTCCACCTTTGCCTGGAGCTATTCCCACTCATATGCCTCCTCCTCGTCTAAGTGGTGTTCCCATACCTCCACCCATACCACCACCTACTGTACTACCCCCTATACCAGGAACATCTACATCATATTCGAACAGATACCAGCCACCTATCGGAGGATATAGAGGACAAGGTTTTGAGTATAAACCAAGCAAACAAGAACAATACTGGAACTGGAAGAGACAGATAATTGAGGTGGTTTGTAAGACGATTCACAGTGATCTTGATACTGTTTTAAGCAGGGATGTCCTTCGTAAGCTGGTTGAATCATCGGCATTCAAGAGTCTTGATGCTTGGTGGGAGAACCAAAAGAAACCAAAGGTAATTTGATTGACAATTACAACAATTTAGTCTTAGGTATGGAAGATTTGGAACAAAAATCATGATATTAGAAAAAAATGCAATTGTGAAATGACTTGAAAGCATTTTTGTTTGCATTCTGGTTGCATTTTGTGCTGTTTGGTTGCAGCTTCAAAAGCAGTTGATTTTGCTCCTTTTACAACAGTGTTACATATAAAAAATAATAATTTAGTTAAGCATATCTCATAGATGAATAATAGTGCCTATTGTTATTAACAGCCAGCACCAACATCATCAAGTACATCAAGTACTGCTACAGTTGGACAAGTGACATCATCATCATCTACATTGCTTGGCCCTAGTCCCTTTGATCGCTCTCATAGTATGGCACTTGGTTTCCGTGCGTCATTACCAAAACTACCATCATTTAGACGTCGTGCTCCAGAACCAAAGGAAGACATCGATAAGAAGGAAGAACTTTCTAAAGCGCTCACTGAAAAGACTTCACATGTTGGTTTCTCAAAGAAGAGAAGAATAGATGATTCAGAAACTGATACTGAGACATTAAGCTCTTTGCATGAAGGAAAGAGGCAGCGTACAACGAGTAATTTACTTGATGATGATGATGATAGAAGTCAGTCTCCATGGCAACATCTTGATGACAATTTGGAAGCTGCACCCCCAGCAATGGATGTCAGAGTGACAAAGGGTATGATTGTTTCTTGACCTGGAAAAATATATATAATAATAAGAACAAACTTTTTCTAAATCCTAGATGAGCTCATATCCATATGAAGTTTATGAGCAACATAAAAGGCTATTGATTGCACCACATACATGACTAACGTTTGGCTCATTTATTGATTGATTGACATTTTTTTCTCTTTTCAGGTACTGATAGACGGACAAGCACAGGGTCTTCCCTGTACAACACTATCTACTCTAGTGAGAGTGAAGGGGAAAGTGAAAGTGAAGATGAGAGTGAATACAAAGATGAAAGTGAAGATGAGCAAGAAGAGTCCAGCGAAGAGGAAGTATCTAGTGATGAAGAATCAGAAGAGGAATCTGAAGAAAGTGATGAAGATGAAAAGAAGGAAATTCAAATAGATTTAAGCAAAATTCAAGATGATAAACTTGATGGTAAGAAAGGTTACTTTCTCCAGTTTTTTATTACTTTATCACCAAAATTGTTTTCTCTAAGCTTAATTTTGTTGTTATAGATGATTCAGAGGACGTTGAAGTGGGCAGACTTGTGGACAGCGAGGATAGCTTAGTAGAAAGTGCACTGGAGGAAAATGACCAAGTGTCCTTGAAAAGTACTGTAGAAACTGTGACACTCTCACAAACTACAAAGTTTGTTAACTTAGAAACTCTTCCAATGCTTCCTGATAAGGATAAAGAAACTGTAAAGGATGATGAACTTGATTCTTCTAAAGATAAAATTAAAACAGTTGAAGAAGATTTAATAACAGAGGAAATAAAAGACAAGGATGATATATTGAAAGATGATAAAGAATATGATAAATCAGTTGACCTTGAAGTAAAGGAAATTACAGAGAATCATGAAAAAACAGAAGCTAAACTTTCTATTGCTTCTCTTGTGGAACTTGATCATTCATATGGACTAGCTCCTAGGGATGCTACTCCTACCATAGACGTTGAAGGGCTAGAAAATGAAACTCCTGAGAAGGAAGTTATCGCTGACCATGTAACTCCAAAAGTTGAAAAGAAAGAGGCAGTCAAAGAAAAGCCAGTGTTGGTACCTGTACGTAAGCAATTGTTTCCTGTGCGGAGTTTTGAACAAGATGATGAACTTGTCTATGAATTCCTTAAAACTGGCTTGGACTACGAAGATGCACACTTTTTAAGGACTGGATTTGAGCAGCTGAATCAAGTGTGTTCTGAGTCTGTTATCGCTGCAAAGTGGAGCTTTCATCCTGATATCCTTTCAGTTATTAAAAATAAGTTGTTTTTATTGATAAAGTTATCATATTTATGTTCTTGTTATTGGACTAGATTGAGCTGTTAATCAATATTTCCTTGTTTGTGTTGCAAGTCAGTCCAATAGTACTACCTACTGTAACAACAGCTCTAACCGCTTTGACAACAGCTGCATTGAAAAAAAGCGATCATCTAAACTGTATGTCAGGAACTGTAATTGAACATTACCAGGACGACCAGCAAGTACATTGGTAATAACATTGACAAATGTCATGTTAATGGATCTCAATGTTGTTATTACAACACACTGTTAATGTATTTGCATACTTTTAGTTTGGTTATTATACAACTGTTTTAGGATTCTATTAACTCTGGGATCGAGTATGTGAATGCATTATCAGTGGCAATAACATTGGGCTGTAAATGAGTGGCCATTATATCTTATAATCATATCTATTTTTGGTTAAGAATATGCAATACTAGTCATCAACAATGAATATGTCTTTATAGTCTTTAACTAATTTCCACTGACTACACTGCCTCTTAACCAGCCCACTCCAAAACGCAGGCGGCAAAAGATTGATTTTGGTACACAGCATGTGACTGGGTGTGCTCGATCCGAAGGTTATTATAAGATAGATAAAAAGGAAAAGGCTAAATTTGCAGAAAACTTACACAAGCAAGTGGAAGAAAAGGATGCACCTGATGTGGAAGAACCGGTAAATGTTGTTCACTATGATTAATGAATGATTTTTTCCTGAAAAGTATGAGAAGTAACTTACTGACATTTCAGACATTAGTCCTTCATCAAAGTAAAAAAAAATTCAGCGTCAGTACGTTATTTCCGATACTTTTACGGTGTAAAATTTATCTTATGCAACAACAGTTTCTATTAGAAATATTGGCACATCTTGCACGAGTTTAAATTACCGTTAGTTTCCACTATTTGTACTTTCTCCTGTCTGACATGTTTTACTCTAATAGAAATTGGATGCAAGCAAAGGAAAACAGTTATCACGTGAGAATCGAGCCATGCAGAGAAGACTGCAGTCAGTTGTTTTTAATGAAGACTTTGGAGATATACTTAAATTCAATAAACTTAGGGTAAGTGAATCATTATAATACGTTTTAGTACAAGAAAATTTCTAAAACCACTACTGGTATATGGTTTTCAGCTTGTCATTCATAACCTAAGAATGGAAGCACAAAAAAATCTTCCTTAATTTCTTAAACATAAAATCCTTCCTATCATGGATAACATATTTTTGGTTTACTTGTGCAGGTTCGCAAGAAGCAGCTCAAGTTTGCCAAATCTCCCATCCACGACTGGGGCTTAGTTGCCCTGGAACCAATCGCAGCAGATGAAATGGTTATAGAATACGTTGGAGAAATGATCCGTCAAGTTATTGCTGATACTAGAGAAAGGAATTATGAAGAACGTGGTATTGGCAGTAGCTACATGTTTCGTCTTGATGAGGAAACCATTATTGATGCTACAATAAAAGGCAACTTTGCTCGGTTCATTAACCACTGCTGTGAGGTATATATCTTCACATTACATTGAGTAACTAACAAACACTTGGTCAAACACCAATATACAGCTGTTTGCAATAATTCTGACCCCCTCTGCCATATTTCATATATATCAAACTGACCTTTAATATTATGGGATATCATGACTGATATATTTTTTGAGTTGTCCAGAATGAGTACTTTCTAAAACAAATATCAGCATTGGTATCCCATAATTTCTAAGGCTACTTTGATATATATGAATATTAGTGTAGGGGGGTCAGAATTATTGCAAACAGCTGTACATGTATATATATATATATAAGTCCATTCTGAACCTTTTCTGAGTAAAATTTGTAGCACAATCTTATTTGATTGATCACATTCTAAGCTAGGACAATCACATTTAGAACATTTGACTTCGGTTGTAAGAATGCATTCAAAGAGAAGCTATAGCTTGCTTTATAGTGATGATGACATGCTTAAACTAAAAAGCATCTAGTTAAAATTAATTACCCCATTTATTTGATTTAACTATTTCAATGTTCTAATTTCAGCCCAACTGCTATGCAAAGGTGATTGCCATGGAAAGTGAGAAGAAAATTGTTATTTACTCCAAAAGAGACATTCAAGTAAACGAAGAAATAACTTATGACTACAAATTCCCTCTGGAAGATGAAAAAATACCATGTTTGTGTGGAGCCCAACACTGTAGGGGCACATTGAATTAACCAAACTATGAAAATATTTATTCTATTATCTGTTGAATGGCATTAATACCAAAAGTGAATATTTTTCTGTTTAACGGTTGACAATATTTTTGAATAGTTTCATAAAATCTTTTATTGTTAAGGCTGAAACTGAGACTGTATTTGATACTGAGCTGAAGTAATGAAATCTTTGAAATCAAGTAGAAATAATAAGTGCATTTGTTGGACAAACATATGATGAACAATTGACAATTCTCATTCCTGTCATGTAGCACCATTAGAGGCATGATAAGCTTGTTTAATTGCAATTATTATCATGTGAAATGATTATCAATTATTTTAGTGTTGATGCATATAGAGTGGAGGTCATATCCATGAAACAATTCTTAGCTATTTTATTACAAACTAGTACTTAATTATGCATTTGATGAATTCAAAGAGTGAATTATCAAGCAAAGAGCCTCTAATGCATATGCATTATGGCTTATTGTCACATTTTGAGGAAATTAAGTATTTTATTGTAAGTGAAGATGTTTTCGCAGAAAAACAATGCCAAATGATATTGGTAATCATTCTGATCATGAATTCACAAAAGATTTAAACAATAATATTGCTTTTCAGTTGTGTTCACTGCAGAATTAATGAAAATCAACTACTACAGGCTAAATTTGTTTCTCAGTAAAATTACTGAGTTGAAGTTGATTATGAAGTTAATATATGTATATTAACCTTGAATTCAGTCAGAAATATGACATAAGCCCCACAAAGGAAAATCAATTTAATGATATGATGACAAAACTACTTACTGCCTGTACTTCCCTTCCACATTTGTACAGTCTCAAATTGAGGAGTTACTTTCAACACAAGATGGTTATAAAATTGTTTCATGTATTGACTGCCATCACTGTTATATGCATAGCAAATGATGAACTTATAGCAATTATTTAAAAGATATTGAGAAATTCATATTTCAGTTCAGTTTCACCACTACCTCACAGCATGACGTTTTTAAAAATGTATGAAATACACAAAGCCGTTTGATAATATGTATATATTTGACCTAATAAAAGGTTACTTTTCAAATAAAGTCCTGTTGTAAAGTTTAGTTTCTTTTTTTAGATGTTCAAAACTAACAACATATCAAAATTTCAACATAGCAGCCCCAATTTGTAGGGTTTGTGCAACTCAAATTACAAATTCTATTTGAACATTGTTACAGCATGTAAACAGTATAACATGCTCAGAAACAGAGGAAATTTGTACCTATTGATATAATCTTTCAGACTTTTGAACTTCAGTTTTATCTAGTGTTGATAATATAATATACTGCCTAGAAAACACTGCCTGCAAATGTCTAGAAACCTCAAATGAGATAAAGGTGGAAGTCTTTTCAAAACTGAATATGGAGTATAAAAAGTACTGGAATTTTGTGATGAAAATTGTAGCACAAACCCTGATTTGTGTCATCTTAATGCTCTTGAATAAAACAAGACCATTATGACAAACTTTCATAAGGTGCTATCCTTTTCTTAGTCAGACATTTTTTTTAGTTTACCAGGCTTTAATTTACATACAGAAATTCTGTTTAAAGTTGATAATTTTAGAGAATTCAAATCAAATTGCCACCACACACCACGCAGTTGAACATTGTTAATTCAGCCATCAAAGGGATGTTCAAAGTGGCAGTATTAATGGAGTGGCCATTTTAACCAGGAAGAAAAGTATGAGTTTAATTTGCTAGGACAGAGAAATCTGGTTGTTATATCATAAGTGCATGGTCGTAAGGCAAGGTTTCACTGTACGATTTCTAGAGCAATCCAATGTTCTCCCTATTTTAGACATTTTTGTCAGCTACCTTACAGAATAGCAATTTTCTACTAAATAAAAACCATTGCAATTGTTTCATTTACTATTTTATTATTACTTTTCCAAGTACATCATCCAGTTTAAGTTATCAACTAAAACACTGGAAAAACATCTATGTTATGTCCTAATTTAATACTTAACACTGTACTGTTCCAACGGAGTAAACATTTAATTGACCAAAAATGAAATGATAACATATCCAAATAAAATGATCTAAACTGTCGAGAATTTTATTTGGAAGTAAAACATTTGTCAACAACTCTAAGTCCAAAAAGCAAGAAAAACTAGTTGGAATGATAAGTATGATGATAAGTGAATTTCCTTTTTGTGCTAAATTCTCTCCTGCAACTTGAACATTTAAATTCCTTTTTCCTATTATGAGCAAGACGTTGATGTTCCCTAAGTGTTACTTTCTGTGAAAACATATTTCCACATCTACGGCATTCAAATGGCTTCTCTCCAGTATGCGTCCTTTGATGGACAACTAAATTGCTTTTCAGTGTAAATGATTTATTGCATTCTTGACACTTAAAAGGCTTCTTGCCACTATGGACTTGTCCATGTTGCTTGAGTGTGCCTATCTGGGTGAAAGCTTTTCCACATTCTTCACACTTGTAAGGTTTCTGTCCAGTGTGGATTCGTAGATGTCTAGTCAGGTCAGGCGATCTAGAGAAGGAACGTTTACAGTGTTTGCATTTATATGGTTTGTTTCCAGAGTGCACCTTTAGGTGTTGATTTAAATTTCCTTTGTCAGAAAATGATTTCCCACATTGCCTACAGCTATGGGGCCTTTCTCCTGTGTGCACAAGTATATGACGAAGAAGAGTACTCCTTTTATCAAAAGCTTTTGGACATTTATCACACAAGTATGCCTTCTCTTCGTAATCTAGAGTTGGTTTGTGTTCTTTGCTGTTGATTTCAGGCAAAATAATGAGAGGTCTCAACAAAACTCTTGCACTTAATGTTATTCTCCTTTGTGATGATGATTGACTCGTAACAATTGTTGTTTCTCTGTCCATTGTGTTATCAGAGGATGGATTAGATGCAGCCTTACCACTTGATATGAAACTATCACTGTTAGTTTTGATAGTTTCTCCTTCTACATCATTTGATGAATCCCTACTTAATGACAAGTCTTCATTGTTAGCCCCAGAAATAGTAGCTTCCTTGCCTACTGATATATTGTTGAAGAAACCTGACTCTTTACTTGATGACAAGTCTTCATTGTTAGCCCTAGAAAAAGTAGCTTCCTTGCCTACTGATATATTGTTGAAGAAACATTTTGGCTTACTCTCTCTCTTCTTATCTGCATTGGTCATGAAAGGAACCTCACTTTCAGCTAGTTCATCATTATAACTATCCAAATGTAAATTAAAACATGAATTGCTATTTGATACATTGAAGTTGCCCAGAGGACTGACATACATGGAAGTACAACCATGAACACAGCCAGAATCATCTATCTGTGTAGCTACATTTGACATCTCTTTCTTGATGATTACTTCATGTCTGGTAACCATGGTGTTAGGGCATAATGTTTCCTGAAAAATAAATTATGTGGGTTTTCCTTGACTTTTCTGCACAAAATAAGAGCGACTTTAGAATACCCCATCACTCTGAAAGCACCTAGATGAAACACTGCCACCGCGGTCCGCGGTGTCGCAGTGCTGGCTATGACTGCTGGGCAACTTTTCCCTTAGACTTTTAAAGAACATGTAAATTCCCATGAAACACTGCCACTGCGGTCTGCGATGCCACAGTGCTCGCTATGACTGCTGGGTATTTTTCCCTTACACTTTTAAGAAGTAGTAAATTCCTATGAAACACTGCCACAGCAGTCTGTGGTGCTGCAGTGCTCGCTATAGGTTAACTTAAGTGGGATACTTATGGTATATGTTTGGACCAGAAATCATTGCAGGCACTGTGACCTCGGACCGCGGTGGCAGTGAATTGTGATAATTATAAAATGACAGGGTATTCTAAAGCTTAGTCATATGTCCAAGAAGCATACAATATATTGCAGTATTCTCTGTAAGATTTGAGCTCAATACTCTGTAACTGCAAAAATAAAGTTGCATGGCCTGAAGGACTTTTTCAGTGCTGATGGGGTGAGGAAGACGAAATACTTTGGAAAACAGTAAATGTAAATGTTAGAAATGTAGTTTTTAAACCTAGGCAACATAGCTAGATATATAAAACCAGCATTGAAAAAGCTTAAAATTTTTCCAGAAAATGCATACTTAAGCTTACATAGCGGACAGGCCACCGACGCTCTCCAGTCTTTTTGTTATACATGTATAATGTTTGGCCTGCTTTACAGACAAACTCCTCCCAATCTGAATCCATTGCTTACTTCTTCAAACAAAAGAGCTCTTTATATGTATATGCTGTAATGTAAAAGGAAATACTACTAGCGATAAGTCATCGAGTTGAGTGCAGTTGGATAGCGTTGCTTTGTAGAAAAATATACACCACAGGAAGACCAAGTACTACTATTGAATAGGTCACATAAACAACAATATGCGGCTTAAAGTTTCTTTTTTACATGCATGTAACTCAAAAAATATGAGATCATTTCATTATCCAAATATAATTAAGAAATTTACTATATTATTTTTTCCTAAAAAAACTCACTTGAAAATTCAAAATGTGGTTTCCCTGTGCTTTTTGTTTTCGATATGGACTGGACTGGTAAGAAACCAAAATGGCGGCCAAGCGTGTTGCAAACGACGAAAGAAAGTTCGTTTCGCTTTTAACTTCTAAACTAAAGAAAGGTAAGATTAGCACAAGATCTGCGCGGGAAGCACGTTTAATTTCAATGGAATCTATTTTTTATACAAACATGACAAAACCGTAAATATTTCATCCAGTTCCATTGTCACGTGCGCGATCAAGTTGATTGTAAAAAAATATTATCCTTGTAGGGAATCATACATTTGAAGATGCTGAGCTGGATTTGATATTTGGAGATGCTTTATCAAACCTACCGGACAGTGATCTCAAATCTGGTCTTAAGAAACATTATGAAACACACCTAAAAAAATTAAAGAGGTTAGAATATTGTATCAAAATTATTCATACTTTAAATATTAAGCTTAATGATTATTGGATGGTTAAATGTTTTTAATTCTTGCAGTGTATTATTATCAAAAAAATTACAAGAAGAATCAGCCACAGAGGTAAACACCTTTGCTCTGTTATACAACAATGAATATGAAATGTTTCAAAACAATTTTATCAATATTTTTCTACTTATAAGTTTTACTACTTTTGGTTTTCCTGTTTTAATTCATAATATGTGTTTATGTTTTCTCTAGAGGCACACAAAATTCATTTTTTTTAATGAACAAGATATAGACAAAGTTATAAATGAAGTTAAAACATCAAAATCTGACAAAGAGAAGAATAGATTATGTAAGTACACCTTCATGTTATTAATTCTTGTAGTCATCTTATTGTTTTTATAATTTTTCTTTGATTATGTTACAGTCAAAGGTCTCTGGTCAAGTTATCCTCTCTTGGAGGATTCACAGAAGATTTTCACTTCTCTTGAAGTATGTCAAGTTGGCGAATCATGTATTGGTCAAAAGAAGTCTAATGCTATGCAGCGCAATGATTTAATATTGGATGCATTGATGCTTCTTTGACCCTGATGTTGGGAGGGTGCATTGTTAAGACAGATTTAAAAGTACATGGATGCCTTGAGTTCACTCCCATAGTCTACAGGGCTCCAAAGTGTTCTGACCTTCGATATCTGCAGCCAAAATGCTGTGTGTATAATTATAATTATATAAAGAGCAATATGAAATAATTTCTATTTTTTATTTATTTTTTTCTCTTTCATCCAATATTTACTCAGAAATACAATATATTTTTCTCAATGTTTTTTCAGGACGTTAATGGTCTTTTGGCAATAGAAAAATGTATCCACAATACTGTTGGTTGCTTTAATAAAAAGGTACTTTACATGGAGTTTAGATCTAATTTGATAAAATAAGCTCATTTTTTTCTTATTTACTTTTTGTGTTTGAACAGAATGTCTTAGAATGCCTGGGTTTTCTGTTAAGGTAATTTTTGCATCATAGTTGAAAAACTGTAGTTGTACAGTATTATACACGTCCTTCTTTTACTATCAACAGGGTTTTTTCTAGAGAATGTGAAGCATGCTTAACTGGATCACAAGAGTATGTGAAGCTGTTTTCATGTATCTTGCTTTCTCCTTATTCTTTCCCATTATTTGACATTCTTCATTTTCTTCTTGAAATTCAATTTATTTCATGTAATTGCTGTTTTAGGTCAAAGTGTAGTGACCTTGCTAGTAGACTTCAAAGATCAATTGTGATAATGAATCAAAGATGGCATTCTGGTATTAGCATGGTAAGAAATTTATGTATTCCAGGAGATGCACATGCTTAATCTTCATTAAGATAAGAAGACATAGAAGGGTATTTGTAGAGAGTACTTAATCAATTCTGATGTATAGCATTGCTTTTTTAGAGTCCTACAGGTATACCATCCCAAGAAGAATCCTTTGAAGACCTGATGGCTGCAATGTTGTCATTATACACTGATTTACTAAGGTACATTATAATGACTAGTAACAAACAAGTCGATGGATATCACCTGGAAAAGCTTTTATATTTTCTTATATATTGTAATCTCCAACAACTTTGCAAGGGTTACCTTTGTGGTAATTGCCATTATTATTCTAATTTGTTCTAATTTCCAATTGCAGCAGCAATGAAAATAATGATGATTCTGTAATAGAGAAACTAGCATCTCTTATGACTACTACTATTGGTGAGATTTGAACTAGTATTTAGTTTGAATGTTGGAAATATCAACTGGGTAAAACTTGTATATTTTCTATCTGACTATTACACATGTGTATAACAGGGCACTCCCCAGAACACTGTATGGATGCAATGTTACAAATTACGAAGCCAAATGAAAGATTACTTTCATTGTTCAGGTAATGTATCTTGCTGGACCTAATAAATCTCATGTGAATTCAATATTTCAAATTTGTTGCTTGTATTCATATCTTGTTCAAATTATTTAAGGTGTATTTTAGAAAGAAATAAAGGACATCTCACACATAAGCAATACATAAAGTAAGTCTTGAAGTGTAATTTGACTACTACTATTGCTTTCAATTTCTCATCAATCATAATGCTCATCTTCTGTTATATGTGTGACATAAATTTCTCGTGTTGTTATAGATTCATATGTTTGGCAAGACTTGCGCTCAAAGTGTCTTCATTACCAGACAAGCGCATGTCCATACTTAAGGTATGTGCTGAGGAGCCACAATGTTGAGACAAGGCTTGTATGCTAAAATAATATAAATGCTAAGTAAAAAGGTTGTATTTTTGCTGTAACAGATAACAGAAAATCAAAGAGCTTCCCCTGGATTTGTAGCTTTTCTACAGAAGTCTAATGGAAGGTAAAAGAAACGATATTTTATTGAAAAAGAATTAAGAAACTTACATGTAGCTTAGAGTAGCATTGTGCAATACACAAACAATACTACAAAGAATATCCTGAAATATGTACTTATTGACTGAGTGGGAGGGCCGTACGGGAAATTATCATATGACCCGTATTTCGGACCTACGCGCGCTCTCACTGAAACCTTTGGAAAATGGTCACGTGATGGGATCCGTACGCCTTTTCGCGACAGGTCCGTACAAACCCGTATTTTCCCGGCTTGAAGTTCCGCGCGCTTTTGTTTATTTTTTTTTTTACATTAAAAAACGCTGTCATATGATAAAATGCTTATTGAGTGAGTTAGGTTGGGCCCTACGGGAAAATATTTGCCTCTCGGTCATTTGTACGGCATAACCTCGAGGCAAATATTTTCCCGTACGGCCCTCCCACTCAGTCAATAAGTACATAGTTTGATTGAAATCATTCTGATGTTAGTTTGGTGGAAAGGCTTAAAATAACAAAGAAAATGACTCCATCTCAGCTTACTGCTTCTTTACTGGGTGATTTATCAGAAGACGATGTAGAAACGTTTTTAGATGTAAGTCTTAATGCGCTTCTCTATTTGTTCATTTAGCTGTTTTTTTATGCATCACTTTATCTGTCAACTAAGTGTGTGTGTCTTTTCATTTGTTGTTTATTTAGATTGCTACAGAACATGTAACTGAAGATACAGCTCCTGAAGAAAATGAAGAAACAGACGTAACACAGGCTAACCAAACCTGTGACAGTCAGTTATTTTTCATTGACTCATCAGGTGATGTTGAAGATACGGAAATTGATGAGGTATGTAATTCAATAGATGGATAAAGGATACTTTTCAAGTTGTCACAAGGAAATATGAGGACTATCCAACAATTCACAGCAACACGTTTGTCATGGTGGATCAATGATGACTGAAATGTTTACATTTGTTCAAGGTANTGCTTTCAATTTCTCATCAATCATAATGCTCATCTTCTGTTATATGTGTGACATAAATTTCTCGTGTTGTTATAGATTCATATGTTTGGCAAGACTTGCGCTCAAAGTGTCTTCATTACCAGACAAGCGCATGTCCATACTTAAGGTATGTGCTGAGGAGCCACAATGTTGAGACAAGGCTTGTATGCTAAAATAATATAAATGCTAAGTAAAAAGGTTGTATTTTTGCTGTAACAGATAACAGAAAATCAAAGAGCTTCCCCTGGATTTGTAGCTTTTCTACAGAAGTCTAATGGAAGGTAAAAGAAACGATATTTTATTGAAAAAGAATTAAGAAACTTACATGTAGCTTAGAGTAGCATTGTGCAATACACAAACAATACTACAAAGAATATCCTGAAATATGTACTTATTGACTGAGTGGGAGGGCCGTACGGGAAATTATCATATGACCCGTATTTCGGACCTACGCGCGCTCTCACTGAAACCTTTGGAAAATGGTCACGTGATGGGATCCGTACGCCTTTTCGCGACAGGTCCGTACAAACCCGTATTTTCCCGGCTTGAAGTTCCGCGCGCTTTTGTTTATTTTTTTTTTTACATTAAAAAACGCTGTCATATGATAAAATGCTTATTGAGTGAGTTAGGTTGGGCCCTACGGGAAAATATTTGCCTCTCGGTCATTTGTACGGCATAACCTCGAGGCAAATATTTTCCCGTACGGCCCTCCCACTCAGTCAATAAGTACATAGTTTGATTGAAATCATTCTGATGTTAGTTTGGTGGAAAGGCTTAAAATAACAAAGAAAATGACTCCATCTCAGCTTACTGCTTCTTTACTGGGTGATTTATCAGAAGACGATGTAGAAACGTTTTTAGATGTAAGTCTTAATGCGCTTCTCTATTTGTTCATTTAGCTGTTTTTTTATGCATCACTTTATCTGTCAACTAAGTGTGTGTGTCTTTTCATTTGTTGTTTATTTAGATTGCTACAGAACATGTAACTGAAGATACAGCTCCTGAAGAAAATGAAGAAACAGACGTAACACAGGCTAACCAAACCTGTGACAGTCAGTTATTTTTCATTGACTCATCAGGTGATGTTGAAGATACGGAAATTGATGAGGTATGTAATTCAATAGATGGATAAAGGATACTTTTCAAGTTGTCACAAGGAAATATGAGGACTATCCAACAATTCACAGCAACACGTTTGTCATGGTGGATCAATGATGACTGAAATGTTTACATTTGTTCAAGGTAAAAGTGGAAGAAAACAAAGCCAGAGACTCACTTCTGCACAAACAGATGAAGGCAATGATGAAGGAAGCTCAGGAGTCGGAATCTGAGGTATCAAACAATGGCTTGATATAGTGAAACCTGTCGAAAACAAACTTGCATACACATGCAGTTTCATGAACTCTCTTGTCACAAATTCTGTAACTTTTACTTATATATAGCAGGAGTCTTTAAAAAATGGATGCAGCTAATTGTAATGCATCACAAATAAACAAATCAAATATTTGTCTTTCTGTATTATGATTATCAAATAGTAGTGATATTAAACCAATAGCATATTTTCGTTGTGTAACAACTTTTTAAAAATCTTCTCTGTTATATTCTTTATGTTGCTGTTATTTTCAAATGTTTCGTTACAAAATTAAAGCCATTGTTGATTAACTTTATACATCTAGATTTACATAATAGCGTGTTTCTAGTGGTGTTTATACTACAGTGCGGTATAACGGTCAACTTCGTCAACTGCTCATTTCCCAAATTTGCCGTTTTTAACTGGCATCATCGTATTATCAGTTTTGTTGATATTTGCTGATTTGAGTACATTTAAGGGTGGCGATGAGTGATTTGTTCTGTTCTTTCATTGGTTTGTTGGAAGTGGTGATCGTATTCCTTTATCACTTCATCCATCCATCTCTCCATTCATTCATTCATTCGTTTTTTGTTGTTCTTTTTTTTTTTTTTCAACTCCAGGATGAAGACATGTTTGATGAAGAATTATCTAGTATGACAAAAGATCTTGTAGAATCATCTGATAAAGATGAAAACGAAGAAAAAGAGCTATCCCTGAAGGTAAAAGAAGATGTCAATAATTCCACAGAAAATAAAGACGTTGAAAGAAAAACACCATTGCAGCCTTTGCGAAGATCAACTAGGAAATCTATTAAGAATGACAAATTATCGATGTAAGTTTTTAGAGGGCATATTTGTTACAAAATGTCATGAAACTGTCTGTAGCGATTTTTTGGAATAAATGTATTTACTCATTATTTGCTATCTTTATTTTTTAACTTGTCCTAACATCTATATTATCAACATTTATGATATTTGAATTTTTGCTTTTATCGAAGACATCCAGATCAAGAATACTATTTTGTAGGCCTACAAAAGTGTTTGCACTTTATTCGGTGGCTTTGAATCAAATGAAGTCGAAATAAGATGAACGGTTTTTAATCATTTCGACGGTGGATAAGTTGTTTTGCTTTGGTCACTTATGTTTAGCAGGTAGCACTCAATCTTCTTAGGAAAGGCGTAATAATAGAACATGTACGAACATGTACCAACCGGTCCTTAAGTATTTCTCAAAATCACTTTAATAGGCACCAAGGGTATGAGATGGTTTTCTAAGCTCGTGTTTCGACCTTTATAAATTCCTTAGCAATGTATGCATGACCAAAACAAATCGGTAAACACTCAAAACATACATTCTGTATTTTTTTTTGAACATATTTCTTTAAGTCGTAGCGAAATCATAATTACTAGTTAGGTGAAATAGCAACAAAGTGACGATAAAATGGAGGATCAACCATCATCTAATGCAACAAAGAGCTCATCTGATGGAAGTAGTGAAGGTCTAGTAGTCGAGTCGCGAGGAGAAACTGCAGCAGAGATAGGACTAAAGCGTACACTAGGAGTACCAGGAGGTGTTTCTTTACTGGTTGGAACTATCATCGGTGCAGGTATCTTTGCTACACCGCGGTTTATCATGATGTACACTGGATCGGTCGGACTAAATCTCGTCATTTGGTCGGTTTGTGGAATCTTTGCATTATGTGGAGGTCTGTGTTACCTGGAGCTTGGAACGCTGATACCACGGTCTGGCGCCGAGTATACGTACATCTTGGAGGCCTTTGGTCCTCTTCCTGCTTTTCTGTATTCATGGCTGCATGTCATTTGGCTCAAACCGGCTGGTGTTTCGATACTTATCACATTTGGGACTTACGTTCTGGAGCCTTTTTACCCTGGTTGTAGCGAAAAGAAAGAATTTGTGCCTTATATAAAATTGATAGCTGCTCTAGCTGTAGGTAAGTTACATCTGCGACTTAGAATTAATCTGGCATAATATGATTCGTTTAATCATCGACTTTATTTTTTTTACAGTAATTATAACTTTTGTTAACTGCGCAAGTGTTAAATGGGCAGCAAGGATGCAAATAGTTTTCACAGCAGCTAAAATGATAGCAATTGTCATGTTGATAGTGACAGGAATCGTTCGTATTGCACAAGGTAAGCCGACATGATACCCAGATCCTCTGATGCTTTCTAGACAAGATCTTGGTGTAATGGATTATACTTAGCCAGTAGATCAATCTTTATTAATACTTATTTATTGTTTACAGGACATGTATCTCAGTTTGTCAACGCATTTGAAGGATCTACTACTGACCCTGGCTTGATTGGTCTTGCATTTTACAATGGACTGTATGCCTATGACGGATGGTAAGCTATTGTCAGGTCGTATCGTACTAGCATGTTTTAACTAAATCATCTGTGTTTCAGGAATCTTCTAAATCTCATCACTGAGGAAGTTAAAGAACCAAATAGGTAACGACAAACAACGCTGACTTTGAAATACAACAATATTACTGAAAAGAAACTATACGGCAATTGCAAGAGACGATTTCTGAGACGCATTAACGCTTTCAGTAATATCTCAGGAGCGCGCATGAAAATGAGGTATTTTAGAGCAAATTGTTTCAATTCGAAGTTTCCTTCTATTTTTTCACGACCTGAACACCTCGTTTTCATTCAAGCACCTACAACTATTTTTAAAAGCGACTGCACAACTTGAACCGGTGGGAGCAATCCCCCCCCCCACCCAATCGTCTATCGCAGGACCATATGACACTTATGGCTCATAAATCTGATGAACCACATATTAGCGCTTATCGTTTCTCGTCTCTTGGCTTCCTTGCGTGGAGGAAGGAGACGCGTTATGTGACGTTTTAGTATGATATATTTGTATCGTTGACAGAAACCTCCCAGTGTGCATGTTGATCGGTATACCGGTGGTGACGATCTCGTATATTCTTGTCATGATTGGATATCTGACAGTACTCACCCCTCAGGAGCTGATAACGTCAAATGCTGTTGCTGTGGTAACCTTATAATACATTATACTCTATTTAGGTTTTTCAATTCATGCTGTTAATAAACGATGGGAGAGGCCCGGGAGAGAGTTTTAACAAAGGTTCCTGTGAGGCGTGGTGACGTTTCCATGAAATGACTGCAGGATCAGTTTTTTTACTAGAATTTTGGTACTCATCCTTTATTTTCTTGTTGTATTTCTTCATTGTTTATTCAGACATTTGCTGATCGTATGTACGGTGTCATGGCGTGGATTATACCTGTACTAGTAGCGTGTTCATGTTTTGGATGTGCTAATGGAGCAGCTTTCGGTGGAGGAAGGTACGTACTAGACATTTCCTCATTTGATGCCATCTTTATCATAAATATATATATATAAATATGTTTCACAAATCAAGGATTCAATGTTATAATACAAAATACTGTGTGTTTTCCAGATTGCTATTTGCATCAGCGAGAGAAGGACATCTTCCGCGTTTTCTAGCAATGGTTCACAAGAAGCGCTTCACTCCTATGCCGGCATTGTTATTCAATGTAAGTTTTACTCCACAGAAAGTATTTTCCATTCATATTTTGTTTTTCCCCGTTTCTTGGTTTCTTGATGATCCGGTAAAGTGTTACTAATAGTTTTGGTTCCCTTTTGGCGCAACTTGTGAAATATCATTATATGCACAATAAAATACTTACATGGCACTTTTAATTTTTTTCCTTAACACCAGAGGTACATTATTCTAACATTACACGTTTTTTGTTTTCATTTGTAGTTCTTTGTTACTATCCTATTCATTCTGCCCGATGCTTCGACGTTTGAAACGTTGCTAAACATCTTCAGTCTTATTCAATGGTTTGTCTATGGCGTTTCGTTCTTAATTGTCATTCTACTTCGCTATAAAAAGAAAGATGCTCATCGTCCCTATAAGGTAATAAAATCACTGAATGATTTAGTATTATGTAAATGAGAAGCTTTCTTCGTTGAGAAGACTTCAGAAAGTGACCAGGATGATTAACTGGAAAATGATTATTTTCCAGTAAAAGTCTTGATACATCTAATACCTTTTTACTTTCCGCTTTCAATGTTTTATTTTGTCCTTATAACCAGGTGTAACCTTTTTTGTACTGATTCCAGGTTTGGATAGGAATACCTTGCTTCATGTTGATCATATCCATCTATCTAGTCGTTGCGCCGATCTACCAAGCGCCATACAATTCATTGTTTTGTGCTTCAGCCACTTTACTAGGCGTGCCTTTCTATTTTCTATTTGTTCACTACAAAGCTGTACCGAAAGGCATCATGGATCGTTATGGTGAGTATTTATGGGATTTGTATACACCCTTTTAATAAGTCCCGAGGTATTGTTTTCTCCGCACTTGATGTCAAATTTATTCTTTTGAAATTTTTACAATACAAAAGGAATTCAAAAGAATAAATTTGACGTCAAGTGCGGAGAACACAATACCTTGAGACTTATTAAAAGGGTGTATACTGTGCATTAAGTGTTGTTAAGTTATTAAAATACGGCTGTGATTTACTGATTCCACTACGTTATTCTGTTGTTTTGCAGACAAATTGATCTTATGGCTGCAAAAGATTTTGGATGTCGAACTACCAAATAACCCTGTAATGAAGACACATCCAGACGAGTGAATTGCCGACATCATTCTAGCCCAGTCCTGGCCTCCTTTCGACCCGCCCTATAGGACTCGCCTTGGTCCTGAAATATAATGTCGGACAAACGCCTGACCTCGACTACCGCACATCAAAGATTTCGACGGATCGGAACTTTATTAATAATAGTTAGGACTTGATTTTGTAGAAAATCGTACGATTGTTTCAAGAGGTTGTTGCCTCCTGGTTGTATTAATCTCTGTGTTTTTATTTTATTATTATCATCATTCCAGAGTAGATCACTATTAGTGTATTAAGTAGAGTTTGGTCAGAGTATTGATCTTGTAACGAAGTTTGCTGTTTATTAATACTGAACCAAATAAATGTCGATGACATGTCTTTTTTACGCAACAGTTTTGAGAATACATGGGAAACTCTTTATTTAATATTATTAATTCATTAGTAACATGCATAATTCTTACAAATTATTCACAATTTTAAAATCCAATATGTAAGACCCATATACGGGTAGGAAATAATTTTTTCATGGGAAACTCATTATTCTGTTTGGAGTCATAGATTTGTCTTCGAACCGGTGGTACACTTACATTCCTTTGCAGCTAAGGAAGCGGTGTTTATTTTTTCAAATGCCATGACCTTTTAATAGATGCGGGTAAGGGGTAAGGACTCCGTGACGACGGAAAAACAGCCATCATGGAAGAAAGTCCTCAAGAGACTATGCTCCCGTCTCAAGAGAACTTGGAACCATTTATCAAATCTACAACCGCTGAGGAGGGTAACAAGGAACAAGTAGGACTCAAACGTACACTAGGAGTACCAGGAGGTGTTGCTTTACTGGTTGGAACTATCATCGGTTCAGGTATCTTTGCTACACCGCGTTGGATCATGATGTACGCTGGATCGGTCGGACTAAATCTCGTCATTTGGTCGGTTTGTGGAATCTTTGCATTATGTGGAGGTCTGTGTTACCTGGAGCTTGGAACTCTTGTACCGAAATCTGGCGGGGAGTATGTGTACATCTTGGAAGCATTTGGTTCTTTGCCTGCCTTTTTGTACTCGTGGTTGTATGTGATGTTCCTAAAGCCGACAGCAGTTATGATTCTACTTCCTTTCGGTGCATATATATTGGAACCGTTTTTTCCTGGTTGCAGTGGAAGAGAAGATCTTGTTCCCTTGATAAAGCTTCTTGCTGCAGCAGCACTTGGTAGGGCCTTTTTTACTGTGAATTCAATTGACGTCTATATTGACGTGACATTATTGTCTAAAATTACTTTGAAATACAATGCTGTTTCACATCGAAAAAATAGAACTAATGGTTCTTTTATCTTATCGAGATCCACTATTTAAATAATCTGTTATAGATTGTTCATAAGTTGTTTGAAATGCAAAGAATTCGTAAAAAGATAATTTTGAAATGTCGTGATCTGTCTAAGTTTCCGACATCAAGTAGAAACGTAACAAAGATCGAATAGCGTGACTGTCAACGCACGCGAGAAATGCAGTTTTATCAATTTAAATATTTTTACAGGAATTATAACGTTTGTCAACTGTGCAAGCGTTAAATGGGCAGCAAGGATGCAAATAGTGTTCACAGCAGCTAAAATGATAGCAATTGTCATGTTGATAGTGACAGGAATTGTTCGTATAGCACAAGGTAAGCTAACCTGCGGGGTCACAATTACCAATCTTGTACCAAGATCCTGCGCTGTAGCCGAATGTTGCGCGGGGTCTAGCCACGAAATTGATGGGATCCATTCAATACCCAGCGCCCCTGTCCCTCTTTCTGCATAAGCTACGAGATTGGATGGGATCATGTCTTAACGCTTGTGCGTTTCTGAAGTGTATGATTGGCTGACCGCCCTGCGCGCGTTTTTTGTTGTAGGACACACATCAAGCTTTGCCAACGCCTTTGAAGGGTCGACCACCAGCCTTGGATTGGTTGGGTTTGCTTTTTACAATGGTTTATATGCCTATGATGGATGGTAGGTCCATAGTCTGTTATCATGGACAGTTATAGATTGGACTTCACATTTCCCTGTCTTTGCTTGTTGTCCTAGGAATCACCTGAATTATTTCACAGAAGAAATCAAGCAGCCAAACAGGTAAACCTTTCTCTACTGATTTGTTATCAAGATTAGTGATACTCAACCACTCGCTTGATTACTCACTAATGCTGTCTTACTCAACAATATTCGACTTCCTTGGTGGAAAAAAGACCTTTCAATTGAGCTACACTTTCCATCCACCCAACCTTGAATTTATATGCAATCAATGAAGCGCAACGCTCGTACTTTTTCCCCATCACCACACCAATCCCATTCCTCAGAGGGCGCGATTCCCAGTGCTTGTCTTGTTTTTTGTTTATCTTGGATATTTTATTGTTGTGAAGGATACAACCACGGCTTATTTCATGATAAGCTCATAAAAGCGAAGATAATTTGCTGACGTTACTTTGACAGTGATTTAAAAGGTGCTTTTTGTTTAACGTCGTAATCATTACCCTCCCGGGTCAATACCTGAAGTGTGCACTGACAAACACACACCCCTGAAGCAAGAACTTCAATTTGGCGTGAAATTTATGCAGCCCTCTCTTCAAAAAATCCAGGATCTACTCCTAAATTATTTAATTAAAAAACAGCTAAGTCTATATGATTAATCTGTTGGGTTTTTTTCTAGAAATCTCCCAGTGTGCATCTGGATTGGTATACCATTGGTGAGTATCTCGTATATTCTGGTCAACATTGGATACCTGGCAGTACTCTCATCACAAGAACTCATGACGTCAAACGCTGTTGCTGTGGTAACATTTTATATTTAATCGCTGTGACACTGGTGAAAAACGTACTGCGCATGTCCACAGCTTTCCCGCTGAAATCTGCCTAATTTCCTTAAGCGATTTTTGTGAAACGGTTTTTTATAATTTATAAGCTCGTTCACCGATATATAAGATTCATATTTCCATCAATCATTGTTCATGATAGGTCCTTTTAGTATGTAGTTTCTATTTTTATCTTGTCATTTCTATTTTGAGAAAATGAGGTTTTTCGTAGTGTTTTCTGTGTTGTCGCTGTAAATCGCCTGGCGCTCTGTTTAACAGATTTCAAGACGCGACCGCCCACTGGCGGGAAAGCTGTGAGCATGCGCAGTGCGTTTTTCAACAATGTCAATCGCTGTGACAATTGCAAAAGTTGTCATGCGTACAGTTTTATCGCTATGTCAATGATAGTTGACTACATGACTAGTCTTGGACCTGAGGCCGTGATTCGTGCGTTGATAATTAAGTGTAATTTGTAGGTACGCAACTAAGACTATACAATGTAAGCTCAAGGTAGTAGGGCGTGGTAGTAGTACACGATACAGAGTACGAGACTGGTTTAATTTTCAATGGTAGTGTAATAAAAAATCGTTCTTCATCTATTTTAGACTGTATCTGATCGTATGTACGGTGCCATGGCTTGGACAATACCTGTTCTTGTCGCTTGTTCTTGCTTTGGTGGTGCTAATGGAGCCTCGTTTGGAGGAGGAAGGTGCGTCTAAAATTTCACTTATCGATCATCGAAATAGGAAAAATACTCGTGCACGAAGTTGACCTCCGAACGTTATTTGGTTAACCTCGAGATCCACCAAGGCAACGGACTCTTTTCATTTTCTTTAGATTTATATTTTCTTGCCAGAGAAAGTAAGATATCAGTGTCAGGTTTGATTCTTCCATACAGTGTTGTTCTGCTCGGCCAATTTTCCTCTAGCCAATGTGTGCAGCTCTCACAATCATATATAAATCTAGATATTTGTTCTTCTGGAGGATGATCGCTTGAATAACATGCGATTGTGTGGTTGACAGTCGTAGCAGCAGAGCAATAGATGGACTTCACAAGGTCACAGCAAGTTTTGTAGTAGCTGTCCAAAATTTCCTTAAATTCCTCCAATAGTTTGATTTTCTCAATCAAGATCTGATTGTCCAACGTGGGAGACGTTGAACTCATTTGAACAAAATGCGTGCTTTCCTCGATGGCTGATAAAGGTAGCCATTTAGCTTCCTTAACACAACGTCGTTTTAGCTCGTCTGAAAGGTCGTATTGATCAGCTACTTGGCAAAAGTGAAGGCAGTTCTCTTTAGATAGTTTTAACTTCATGTAATGATCACAGCATTTCTTGATCTTATCCATTTGGTACTCTTGGGCAAGTTTAAGAAGAAATTCAAAGTTGTTATCTGGAACGAAGTCACAGTATATTTATGATTGTATTTATATTGATATTAATACAATAAAGCCATCATTCCTATACACTCTTTTAGCCCTAATTGGGACATTTGGCTCGTCTAAGGCCGTCCATCTTCATCTTCAAGAAGCAACGTGGAATTTCACGCCCTATTCAAGGCAAATTGGTAAAATATAAACCCTATTCAAGACATGAGGGTTGACATAAACCACTACTGGGTACCTTTCTCGTAAAAGGTGTTAATATCATTGATATTTTATGTTTTACTTTATAGTCTAATAGACAAATGTTGACATCTTGCATAAGACATGGTAAACTTAGAAACTAGTACGCCCCCTATTTAAAGGCTACTTGGACGAAAATTGCGAAACATTAGAAAAGACTTGGAAATCAAATAGACCTATCCATATGGGTGTAATAATCATGAAGCAACAGATTTCAAGAAAATATTGATGCAAATCCTTAAAGTGCTACTTGCATGAAAAACTTCAAGCAATACAAATATATGACTCATTTATATCTATTAAAAACAATTGTGAATGGGGAAAATATTTGTTTTGGAATTATCCCACGTCAGAGAAATTTTGATTCAAAAGATGAAAGAACAAAAGGATGGAGTAAATGACGTCATCTACTCCAACATTTTTTGCCCAAATTATTAAGGATTTGTATCAATATCTTCTTGAAATCTGTTGCTTCATGATTATTTGACCCATATGGATAGGTCTATTTGATTTCCAAGTCTTTTCTTATGTTTTGCAATTTTCGTCCAAGTAGCCCTTTAGTCTAATAATTTGGGCAAAAAATGTTGGAGTAGATGACGTCATTTACTCAATCCTTTTGTTCTTCCATCTTTTGAATCAAAATTTCTCTGATGTGAGATAAATCCAAGACAAATATTTTTGTATTGCTTGAAGTTTTGAAATAAGGCCATTTTCATGCAAGTAGCACTTTAAGAAATGAACTTCACTCACATGTAATCATAGATGTCTTGTGATCATTGTAAATCATCTTGAGAAGTTCTTCAAACTCTTTTGCACTTTTCTTGGGTAATTTGATCTCTTTGGCCGATTTCTCTTTAAAGTCAGAGCTAAACATTCTATCAAAAAACGGTGAATTCATTGATAGTATGCATTTATGGACATGGAATTTACGTCCCTCGACAATGAGCACCACGTCACTAAGGTGCCATGGCGATGTAAAGGAATTACTGGGCTTGATGGCAGCAGATTCGCCTTTGATCTTTGATGTTTCAGTAGTATCTTTAAGTCTGGCAATTTTAGTCTTTGGTTCTCCATCCATTGTGACTGTGATGTTTTCCACGCGGATTCTATGATGCAAAAATCACAATTGATGTCATTGAATGTTGTTATATAAAGGAATCAAGAATAACTACATACATTTCTCGCGCCTATCGTTTTTGTTTTTTGTTTTGTTTCATTCATGGGATAAAGCGCCCAGGCCATCCCCTCCTCAAGATCACGCGAAGAGTGTTTTTTTTTAATAGACCCATGATATGCTGAGTTGTTATTTTTGTTGCAGTCTTTCTTGTTGCACAGTTGGCTCCATCGCCGAAACTAAAGCCCAGATCTTTCAATCGACCACCAAGTTTTCCTTTCTTCCCCATCACTCAACACCTCTCTTAAGCGGCT